GCAACCTCCAACTCTTGGGCTTAAGCGATTCTCTTGCCTCAGCCTCCCAAGTAGCTGGGACCACAGGCACCCGCCATAACACCCAGCTATTTTTTTTTGGTTGCAGCCATCATTGTTGTTTGGCAGTCCTGGGCTGGATTCAAACCTGCCACCTTAGGTGTATGTGGCTGGCGCCTTAGCCACTTAAGCCACAGGCGCCGAGCCCATGTTTGTGTTTTTTAGAGACCAGCCAGTCAGGCTACAGTGCAGTGGCGTGATCATAGTTGACTGTAGCCTCCAGCTCCAAAGATCCTCCTGCCTTACCCTCCCAAGTAGCTGGGACTATAGTCACCCACCATAACACTCAGTTAGTTTTTCTAATTTTAGTAGAGACAGGGTCTCACTCTTGCTCAGGCCGATCTCGAATTCCTGAGCTCAAGCAATCCACCAGCCTCAGCCTCCCAGAGTGTTAGGATTACAGGTGTGAGCCACCTCGCCCAACTCGGACATTGCTTATAAAGGAATCAATATGTGATGTTTTATGACTGGCTTCTTTTATTTAGCATATTTCTTCTAGTTTCTCAACATCTTTGCCTACACTGACTTCTGAGGCTAGACATCTTTATGGGTGTGAAGTGGTATCTAATGGGGGTTTTGATTTGTATTTTCCTGATGACTAAATGATATGGACCATCTTTTCCCGTGCACGTTGCCAAGCCTACCTGTTTTTGTAAATAAGATTTGCTGGAACACAACCATGCCTACTTCCTTGTGAATTATCTATCTATGGCTGCTTTTAGACTATCAGGGCAGAGTGAACCTTAAGAAGTCGGAACACGTTCTGCTTTGGGTGAGACAGAGACATGCATGTGAACTAGGAAGGAAGGAATGTCTGATGGGCCCAGCTTTCCCAGTCCAGCACCATTTCTGGACTGAAGTGTTAGGGCCATGGGTACAAAGTGAGAAGTAATTACTAAGTAATTCTGAAAGCAGTGGCCAGAGCATGGAGGGAGAGCTGATTAACTGAGCAAGTGAGGGGTTTGTGGAGAAATCAAGAGAGAAAAGGATGCCAGGGTCAAACAGGAAGCAGAGAGTTCGTCATGTGGAAGGCTTGAGTGACCAGGGTGGCACCACTTAGGCCTTGAAAACAGCACTTGAACTCCCCTTGTGTAAGCCCTGACACACCATGCTGAGGATTCTGTCCCACCCCGTGAGCATGCCTCTGTCACAGTAGGCGGCCCCGGCTCCTTCCAGCTGAGGCGCTGCTCCATGTGTTCCAGCTGCCTGCCCCTGCAAGGGCTGTCCTGCAGGTTTTCCCCTTAAAACTCAGCCTGCCTTCCCATAGGTTGGTGCTTATATGTCCAATTTTATGCCCCCTTTCTTGCCCTTTGGGGGGAAAAATGCTTCTCTGCAATGCCTGAACTCTATTGTTCAGGAGGGCAAGTAGCCTCAAACATCTCCCATTAAACCATCCTCCTGGCACCTTCCTTCACAGCCCTCTGCCACCTGATGCAGAAAAGACACCTAGCTTCCTTACTCAATCCGCAGTGAGGCCTTGGGTTTGCTCTCAGTCCAAGTGAAGCGCTTCAGCACTGGGGAGGCTAGCAGAGTGCTACTGTCGCCATGGTAATCCTGGTGGGGAAGAAGGAGAAAGGTTATACTCTCACCTGGCCACAGGTGATTCTGGGATGTGCCCTCACCCTCCATGATCCTTGCCTATTGACACAAAGGATTTCTCTGTATTGACCAACTACAGACTTGGTCAGTTGTAAGAAATGCCTCTTTCCAGGGACTTTAAGACCCTTCTTTTTGAAAATGAAGTAAATAAATTTAAACAAAAGGGAAAACTGCAAGTAACAGGTTAGCATTTTCCATATTAAGCTTTTAAGCAAATTATTGCATATATTAAAGCTAATTTTGGCAGATGACTATTACCTATGCATGCTGTGGTATTCAGTAGCCATGATATGTAAAACGTCTAAAATTATAAATATACGGTTCCCTTTTTTTCCTTAGTGATTCTGTGGAATTTTCAGGCTCTCTTGGTCATATTTTCTAGCAATTAAATTTCCGTGTTAGTTCATCTTTAGCATGGAGTTTTATGCAGACCCATCATTACTCTGTTAACACAGCATGTTCCAGTAAGTGGACTCCACAGTTTGTTCCTGCCACCCTCTGAGGCTCTCGCTGGGCTGTGTTCACATCCTCACCTATCAGTAAACGCCCAAGCACACAAAGCAATTGCATAATTCACCACTGTATTAGGGTGGGAAAGGTTAAGGTAGAGAGAAATCTTCCTTATTTTGCACAATATTGTTTCCTTGGTCTTGAAACCAATGTACAAGTAGCAAAACAAAATTTCCATCTATTTTGTATTCTGCAACTTATTAGTAATGTTTAAAAAATCTTAAATCATCCCTTCTGTATATCTGGCATGTCTGGCAAGGTTTTGGTGTTTTTAAGGGTGACTATGCTTGCCTCAAGGCCACACTGATGGTGGTGATCACCTTCACATTGTGGTTAGTCTTCTAGGCCCTTTATGAGGTGCGGTCATCACCAGCACTTCTCAAACTTTCCCGTGTGCAGGAATCCCCTAGGGGTCTTGTAACAAGGCAGTCTGAGAGCTGCGGGAGCACGGGTCCTGAGAGCTGGCATTTCTAGCCTACTCCTATGTCATAGAGATTTGCTTGTCTGGATTTGACACCTGCAGTAATATCACAACCGCACTCCTGCACATCCTTTTCTCCCCTCCCTTTATTCTCTTAATTCCATGTCCCAGGGCTCTAAAGAGAAGATCTGGGGAGGCCATTTACTTGTCAGCTATAGTGATTTGCTTCTCCCAGTGTGGCTAGGTAGGAACATGGCCGTTTGGCCTACAGAGGCTCAGGAGAAGGGTCATAAGGACTAGCTGAACTTCTCCCAGTCTCAAGGCTGCTTGTAAGACAGAGTGCTCTATTAGGTCATAAGGTGTAGCCACCCACACAACTAGTAGTGCCTCTGTTATTCTGAAAACAAAGGCATCTCTGGCAGCCAAGAACTTAGAAACATACAGTGGAGTTTCCAAAGGGACTAAATTCCTACCAGGCAGGGACTTGAAGCTTGGAGTTAATTCATGGACTTCTACTTTCAAATTAGCTCTACATAGCTAAGTCTAGTTTCAGCATCCCTGACACTGTCATTTTAACGCCCACTAATTACTGGCCCTCATTGCCCAGGAGCTAACAGACTACTAGAGTTGGCGTTTGGATGGGATGTGGTAAAGAGTACTTTTGGGGAGCACTGAGTAGTAACTTCACACTTACATCCAGCAGGGAGGTGGCATCTGGTAAAACTTCTTCAAAGGTTTTAATTCTCTCCAGGCTCATGAATTTGAAAGCATTTACATATCTAATGAAGAAAGATAAAGCATAATCAAGATAGGAAAATGCACCCAGCTTTGATTAGTCAGGAAACCATGGGCACCATATCCTAGCTAAGATGAACCAAAATAGCAGGTGGCCTAATTTCTGAGGTTCAAATTTTCCTGTTGTGCCCACTGGGAATCCTGACAGTAATGTCACTTCTTCATAGTTGTCGATTCACACTCCATAGTTTTGATCAAAACCCCAGAGGGACCCACCCTGGTCCCTGATAGAATCAGAAAACATCTGGCCCAGAAGAAATGTAAAGCATCACCTGGTTTGAACACCCTACAGTAAAAGAGGAGAAATGATACCCAGGCAAGCTGATAAGACTGTATCACTTATACTGCCTGCTTCCTAAAAGCAGGGGAGGTGACAAAATGACCTGTCAAGGTTACAGAGCTGATCTAATGGCATAATCAATGCAAAGGCCAGTCTTGTGTATTCTGTTCCATGATTACAGATGGGGAGAAATGGGAAGTGTTTGTGTGGTGTCTCTATACTGTTATATATTTTGCTGATGACCTATTAGGAGAGACCATCAGAGATATCCACTGTATGGTTTTCACAAGGCAAATTCACCTAGACACTTGGAGTGATACATGCAGGATAAGGAGTTGGTACATGCAAAGAGCCTAGCACAGTGGCAGACTGCAGCAAGTGTCCATGTAACTGTAACACATGCTGAAGTACCAGTGATGAAGTGCAGACCTCCGGCCAGCAGATGCCCTCAGTATTTACTCCCTTGTGCCTTCTGCAATCCCTCTGTAGTAATGTGAAGTGAAATGTACTAGTTAGGTAAGAAAAAGAAAACTAGTTTTGTTTAGTTTTATTTATCTAAGTGTTATCAAAAAGTCAATGTCGGGGGGGGGGAGAACAATGGAGGGATGGTTCTAAAATAATATGGACTAAACTTAAGAAAACATAATGCATGATAATTGGATCCTGCCTTTTTTTTTTTTTTTTTTTGAGTCTTAAGCTGTTCCCCTGGGTAGAGTGCCGTGGCGTCACAACTCACAGCAACCTCAAATTCTTGGGCTTAAGCAATTCTCTTGCCTCAGCCTCCCGAGTTGCTGGTGCTACAACGCCTGGCCATTTTTTGGTTGTAGTTGTCGTTGTTGTTTGGCAGGCCCGGGCTTGATTCAAACCCGCCAGCTCTAGTGTATGTGTCTGGCACTTTAGCCGCTTGAGCTACAGGTGCTGAGCCTGGATCCTGCTTTTTCAAAAAGGTATAAAAAACGTTTGGGGGAAATTATAGAAATTTAATATGACATGATATTAAGGAATTTCATTGGTATGATATTTGGCAAGCCTTACATAGGAGAATAACCTTCTTACAAGGTGTATACCCAAATGTTAAGGGGCAAAGTGCCTTAACCCTTCTTTAAAATGGTTCAGCAAAAAGAAACACACGTACACACAGTATACAGAAAAACTAGGGTAAAACGTCAACAACAGTTCAACTTAGGAGATGGGCATGTTGATGATCACTATATAATTCCTTCCTTCCTTCCTTTTTCTCCCTTTTTTTTTTCCTCTTTCCTTTCTCTCTTTCCGTTCTGGCATGTTGGAAAATTCTGTAATAGAATGTTGGGGAAAGAAATCTTACCTGACGTCCTCAGAGCTTCCTGAATTAAACGTTGGAGCTGAAATGCCTTCCTTGAAGAAGTCCTCAGCAAAGGCAGGAGTTGAGTATGTAAACCCACTGCTTCCAGTCAGTATGGCATTGAGTGGGATATAGTCTTTACCATCCTAAAATGCCGAAGATAGAGGTATTTGCACAAATTTTGACTTTATCCAATTTCTGTCAAGCATTATGTCAACTTCAACTATGCCATTTGCACAATCTTGGTTGTGTTTGTAGAAGGTAATACACACTTTTTTTACTGCTGATCTCAGCTATTCTATTAAGAGGTCTTAAAACAAACAAAACATCCCCTAGATATACATTCAAAGGCATTTGCCTTCTGACATTCTAGATACATTTAGCTTTACCTGTTGTACATTTGCTTGAAGCAAATCGCCAAGCTTTTCCACAAGTTCTGCGAATCTTGGCCTTTCTTTTGGGTCTTTGTGCCAGCAGTCCAGCATGATCTGATAGCTGTTGGGTAAAAGCACAATAGAAATAGCTGGAGAGCAGTGATAATTATCTAGATTGCCCTACATACCACAGACTGTGGGTGTCATCATGCATAAAATACTGTAGTGTGTGTCAGAGCTCCATTTTTTTTAGGTTTGGGTCTGTATCACCAATACTTAAAAGGTTCCTTAGGCCAGGCCTTACAGGCAATGGACAATGTCTGTGTGCCAAGCTGGCCCTCCACGACCCAAGCTCTTTGTAGCTCTGAGCCCTCTGCAGAGTGGGAGGTTTGCATTCTGTGGATCCTGCAGAGCTCTTGGAAAGGCAAGCCCACTGTTCACTGCAGTTAAACGTGAACTGGAACTCTCCTCTGTCACTTTCAAAAGTAGGACAATACCCTTAAATTTAAAAAACATTAACATAGCCACAAGTATCAATGGATCAACAGTCTAGGGTTCTTATTTCATTCTTACGTTGTAACAAAAGTTGGTTTGAGCCAGCTTCTTAAAGCAGGTGGCAGTTCCGAGTCCTCACAGTAGCCTCATTGGGCTCAAAGGTGGAGACTGGGGGAGAAGGCACTGTATATATGACCCATGGCACTTTCAGAAGGTGAAGTGCACACACAGTGGGGGAAGACCCTGGGCCAGTGTTCAAACTTCCTGTGTGTGGCTGACAATTCCCAGGTATCCCAAAGCTGCTGTTACAAACTGGCCTCCCACCACTCAAGGCAGAAAGTACAGGCTGGGCTTCGGGATATGAAAACATTTGCTTTATAGCACAGACGCCAGATTTTGTCCTGGGACTCCAGTGTCAGCAGGTTCCTGTGTGATGCTTCTCCTCTTATGCGTTAGAGGTCAAAGTACAGGGCTCTGCTCATGGTTGTGCACCACAGAGGAAGGCTGTGCTGATACCTTGCTCAGCAAAACACCTGCTAGAGGCCCCCATACACAGGATTCAGGAATTTTTCTCTTTGGGCTATCTGTTCTCTTCAGGGATGTTTATTATAAGTCATCTCTTCTCTCAGTAGATGGTCTGGGATCAGAGAGGACTCTGACTGTGATAAAAATCTGAATGGGCTGGGGCTTTCGGAGCTGGTCAGAACCAGGCTATAAGCATTGTATGGATCGGACCTCATCTCCACAGCTCTTGCCTAGCCCAGTGCTGAAGGAAGTCAGACTGGTTCCTGGGATCCAGAGTTCTATGCCCATGGGCTCTATAGCCACACTGCACACATGACGTGTGGTGCAGGGAGCTGGGTGCGGCGGGGGAGAGCTGAGATATTCTAGTTCTCATTCTACCTCTCCCGCTTTGGCTGTATGCCTTCAGGGACACCAGCAGCTCCAAATATATCCTAAGACTATCCCTAGTCTAAAGTATATGAGGTGGCTGACAAAGACAGCATAAAGGAACATAAAAAAAAAAAAAAGGAATGTCAGGAGGAAGATAAAATAAAGATAAGAAAAAAGGCAATGATACCAGCAAAGTTGTCAATAACATGCAAACTTTATCTCACTACTCTGAGAACTCTGATGGAGGCAGCCGGTGAAAAGAAGGAATAATCAGTTATGTAATCCCCCAAAGCCAGAAGTTAAAAACCAACCAATTACTTGGAGGAAGTATGGCCTTTCTTAGTACTGAAATCTCAAAGAAGTTTCTTCTAGATGTGTCTCAACTATGTTCCTAATCAGGCAGTAATGACTTCAGGGGACTGTTTTGTACAGTGTCTTTCAATGTTGGCCAAAGTCTAAACAGCAAAAAATACTATTCAGTAACAACAATCCTCAGAGGCTACATAGTGTGTTCCAGGTGTGTGTGTGCTGCTTTAAGCCAAGGATCAGCTTTTAGGTACTCAGGGGACTAAAGGCACCGTGTGGTATACAGATGCCTTTCGTGGGCATCAGTCTTCACAAGAAAGCTTTCCTACCAGTTGTGTGGTGGAATGCAAGTTCTGCTTCCTGACAAGTACCTGGCAAGCAGAGGCCCTAAGTCTCTGATTACGGGACAGAAGTGCATAAAGTCAGGGGTTCCCCTACACAAAGGCGGGGGGAAGGGGGTCTGCCATTCAGGCGTGTGATCTCTATGAGCTTCTGTCCCTTAATCTTTGTCTACAGCTGTGGGTTCAGACTCTTCTCAGAAAGCAGTTCACGGTTCCCTCTCACCCCATACTTCATCTGCTGTTCCTATTTCACCTCCTTGGAGAGCGTGCAGTGTGCTGTGTTGGGATTCAATTTGCAGAAACCAAGAACACCAGAAATGAGAAAGGACGTCTTAACTCTAAAACTCTGGACTGTTGTCCCTGCTTTGTGAGAGACACGGAATAGGCAGCCACAGTACCCCAAGTCCCAACTAGTACCGACCAGCATCACTTCCAAGTGAGGCTCAAGACACTTGCTCCTCATGCTGTGAGGACAGGCCCGGCAGGGCCCCCAGGGCCATCCAGCCAGTGGTCAAAGTTCAGAAATAACATAAGACATGCAATGTGCACAATCCAATATGGATCTCACTTTAAGTTTCCACGTTTTACTAATTTATTGAGACAGGTATAAAATATATACTACAGAGACAGGTGACTAGACAAAAGTCTGAGGTTTTCAGCCCGACTGCATTGGCTGTGGCAGATGCTGGCCTGCGTCGACCTTACTGCATACCTGCAAGCCTAGGAGTCCCAGGCACCTTTATCTCTAGCAATAAACAGGTTCTCTGAGATGGGTAGAAGAACATTAAACACGTATATACCTAGCTAAGCTGTCAAAGGCAGCCAGAACAAGAAAGGCTTAAACTTGGCGGTGCCTCTGGCTCAAAGGGGTAGGGTGCTGGCCCCATATGCCGGAGGTGGTGGGTTCAAACCCAGCCCCCGGCCAAAAACTGCAAAAAAAAAAAAAAAGAAAGAAAAAGAAAGACTTAAACCCAGGTAAACAAAAAAGGGCCCTGAGAATAAGGAGCAGGGTCCTTCCATTAAGCAGGGGCCCTGAGTTTCTCTCCACTGGCACCATCACCTCACAGCACTAGGAACCAGCAGTTGCTGAGGACACATGTCTGTCCTGAGTGGTCCTCTCCCCGGTTTCCCTGCTGAAACTAGAAAAAGAGACCACCTCGGACCACTTGCTGGTTTTTAATTTTTGATTCTTGGTTTCTGATTTTTAGTTTCCCCTCCTCTTGCCTAAAAATCCAATGTGAATCATCTCAGCAAACACTAAAGGAAAGGAAAGGAAATCAAAAGACGTCTGATTAAACAGCCTCTGGGTGAGGAACCAACAACTCAATGTTATATGGTTTTACACTACTAGGTAAATAGGTTTAATATGTGAAGAGGCACCAGTTGCTCCCAAGCCAGGAATCAAGGGAGCTATGGGAAGCCTTTCCCTTCAAAATGATCACCAAGTTCAAAGCCACGTTCAGGTCACAGAATCCCAGTTGTGAGAAGCTGCACCGTGTCCTCACCCAGGCCTCCCTACTCTCAGAAATTCCTCTATCAGCTCTCACATGCTTAAGAAAATGGCCAATGGTTTGAATTCTGGCCTTTTGAAGAAACATGTCACAAATCATCTTCTTTTCAAAATTTCTAAAGGAAACTCCTCCTTCCCCAGAATCAAGGAATCATATCTCTATAGGCTTTTTGGGGTAATGAGGTTTACCTGAGTGCGGTTTATGTCAAGACTTAAAGTTTAACAAAGACCAAGGGAGTTTTTAGCCCAAAGTTGGAGTGACTTTGTATCTCTACAGTTATTCAGGACCAGATCCTGGATAAGAATTGGAAAAATCCCCTGCAGGTATGTTCTGTGCTTCAGTTTTCTCATCTATAAAATGGAGATAACAGCAGCCAGGGTTTATAGGGTTGTTAGGAGCATTACAAGGGTTTATAGAGTCGTTAGGAGTTAATTACATGTTGAATTAACGTACATTAACAGTGCTTAAAACAGTATCTGGCACTTACAAGCACTAAAAAGCTGGGTAAGTATTACTAAATATTGTTATAATAAAATCTAATTTCATAGTATTTAGCATTATTCTGACATTAAAATAACAGCTAATTTCATATTATTTGGCATGTATTTTAAGTAAAAATTGAGACTTATACTATTTAGCATATATTGTGAGATAAAGAGAAATAATGTTATTTAATAACTACCTTTATCATTAGTAATTAGTAATTGAGAACTTCTTCTTGTGATTTTCAGATTATAGGAAAAGTGGAAGGACATACTTAATTCAAAGCATGAGTGGGCTTATCAGAGAGCCATTTCTTGGTTCTCCCATAACCAGAGAGCCATCATGTGCATCAGAGGCACATGGAGTATATTCCTAATTCAGCACCTGCCAGGGTCTCCGGAGATCAGTCTGGAGGGCTGGGGACTCAGGGTCTCTGCGCCTCAGCTGACAGAGAGCACACTGCCTCACTTCTCAGAGTTTGACTTTCATTACTTATTAAATTCAGATCATAACATCTGCCCTGCCTGTCTCTCAAGGTTGTTGGGAATTTCAAATGAGACTGTGTGTGGGAAGACAATTAGAAAACCATAAAGTGCAAAGTGATTTCATTTCAAACCAGGTCTCTTGGTGTAGACGTGGGGAGTCTTGTCCTCAACCCCCTACCTATGTCCTCTCCTGACCACATGGCTTTTCAAGGCCTCTATCTGGAAACTGAAGTTACATATCCAGTTTCTAGGTGTGGATCCAGACAAAAGGATTTTACTTTTACCAAGTAAAAGGAATCGTGCAATAAAAAACTTGCAAGGCCTTCAACCCTCTATAGCTAAGTATAGTGGTGGGGACTAATCCAGGTTTGTCCCCAGCTCTCAGAAAGAGGCCTTGCTTCAAGCTCCCTACACTTTCCTGATGAGGACATCATGCAAGACTGACAAGAACAGGTCCCCTCCCTCCTCCTGCACTCAGGCTGTACCCTGCAGCCCTGCCTTCACTGGCCCAAGCCCCCAGTCTACCTTGCCCCGCTTCCCGTCCTGGGCCTGACCTACCATCATCCCCGGATGATGAAGGAAAGAGACAGCGACCTAGCCCTTTGGCCAAGCCCACACTTCCTTCATTCCCTCTGACTCCTCCTCAAAGGCCAGCCCAGGGCTCCTGACAGGACCCTATTGTGTGGGTGGGGTGGGGAGGGCCAGTTCAGGAAAGGTGGTGCCGCCTCAGGGAGGCTCATGTCCTTGTCAGCAGCTCAACAAAACTGCACGTGTCATCACATTCCTGCTCTGGCCTCAAAGTGCAAAACATTCACAAAGCCTCAGGAAAAAAAGTATGTCCAAGAGAGTCAAGCTAGTAAAATTTGCACAATGGAGAAAACCTTCTAGGACCCTGTCACCTTCCTGGAGTCCCCTGATGGCATAGCAAGAAGGCACCTGAAGAAGTCATCTGCTCTAGGCAGTCCAGACAGCTGAGGAGCCTGTTTCTGAAGGGCGCTAAAGATTGTGTTGCCCACACAGCCTTCTGTGGAGTCTAACTGTGATTTCAGTCAGGAAATTCCCCCTTTCCCCTCTAACACTTCCTCTCCTGCAGTCCAAATCGCCCCCTTCATGGGTCTTTAGGTTGGATGGAGAAACGGTCACTAGCGGCTTCTAGCTCTTGGTGCCTGTGGCTGTCTGGCTCATTTGGCTTCCACTCCGTGAGGGGGGCCACACACAGGCCTCCCTTCTGGTCCTGGGTGCTCTTTTCCTTTTGCCTGGATCCACACCTAGAAACTAGATTTGTAACTTCGGTTTCCAGACAGAGGCCCTGAAAAGTCACGTCAGTGGTCAGGAGAGGAAATAGGTAGGGGGTCAAGGACAAGGCTCTCCACTTCTAGAAAACACTCCCAGCACAGCTGGGTCCAATAGGGCTTGAGGAAGGCATCCCTCATGGAAAGAACTTTCTCATCCCCTCTTACGAGTTTTGTGGGGAGAAGGCTATCTGGGAATGGAGGAAGCTGCGTGCTCACATTTCAGGAGTGGCGTACTCCGGGGCCCTCATCCTCATGCCTTCCTTCAGGCGGCTGCAGAAGTCCTCATCCATTTGCACTCCTGGGTATGGAGACCCGCCTGTGGGAGACAGTGTGGGAAGACAGAGCACGTTACATACAGCTTAGGGTACAAAAGACCGGGAGGGCGAAATTCAGTGTTTCCCTCCTCCCTTCATTTTTGTTATTTTTATTTTTTGAGACAGTCTCACTCTGCTGCCCTGTACAGAGTTCTGTGGCATCATAGTTCAACCTCAAACTTCTGGGCTCAAGGGATCCTCTTGCCTCAGCCTCCTGAGTAGCTGGGACTGCAGGCACCTGCCACCATGCCTGGCTAATTGTTCTATTTTTAGTAGAGACAGAGTCTTGCTTTTGCTCATACTGGTCTCAAACTCCTGAACTCAAGGCATCCTCCTGCAGTGGCCTCTTAGAGTGCTAGGGTTACAGGTGTAAGCCACCGTGCCCAGCCTCCTTCTTCTCTTTAAAGCGATGTCTTAGTAACAAATTCCCAATGATGAGAATGGACCTCAGTGTACAGTATAATATACACAGCAATTCAGCAAATCATCTTTAGTGATGCACTTGGCTGGTTGGTCCCAGGGTGCCAGGTGTCTGATGCCCACAGACCATTCCAATGGCTGCTCTGGCCTGTTTGGTTGGGAAAGGAGTACCCTCTAAAGGTTCCCTGCTCTCTACCCACAAGGAACACTAAAGAAATCCCATCACTGGAGACTTATCCTTGAGTTAATGAACTTCCTTTTAAAAAGCCAATAGACTTTAAAAATCCATGGCTTCGTGCCTGTAATCCTAGCACTCTAGGAGGACATGACAGGAGGACTCCTTGAGCTCAGGAGACCGGACTGAGCAAGAGCAAGACTCTCTCTTCTAAAAACAGAAAAACTAGCCAGGTGTTGTGGTGGGCACCTGTAGTCCCAGCTACTCAAGAGGCTGAGGCAGGAGGATTGCCTAAGCCCAGGAGTTTGAGTTTGCTATGAGCAGGGCACTGTAGCCTGGGTAACAGAATAAGACTGCCCCTCCAAAAAAAAATCCATGGCTGCTTATGGATCATTCATACTCAGTAAGGATCATTTTAATTTGAGATTTTCTTGCACACCTCTCACAGCACTGGGGGACTAACAGTTGTGACAAGCCCAAGGGAAGGGGTCCTTATGCTCTAGGACTAGGGTAAAAGAGGTGGGCTAGGTGGGAAGCTGCCTGTGATCAGAAGTCTGCAGACCTGAGGGTGCCAGAGGGGCCTCATTTTGCCTTTTGCCAGTTTCACTCTCTCCAAATTCTCCTGTAATCTTTCCTTTTGGAGGGCTTCTTGGCTGGTGGGGGTGGGCAGTGCCTCCCAATCTGCTCTGTTCCAGCCCTCAGATCTAGTCTATCTCAGCATTTGTTTGCCTGTGCTTTCTAGTGATTGCTGCTGGTAGGAAGCAGCTGGGAGACATGCGCTGCTGGCACCATGTCACCGTGGGGCCACTGCAGCCGCCAAGCTGCTTTCAAAGACTGGAAGCAACAGGTGCCTGTCATCGAAAGCAGGGGAATGATTTTTACACATTACAGGAAACCAGAGATGTTACTGGGTGACTTTTATTTGCTGCAAAAGGCAAATTTTTGGCAAAGCCCAAAAGACTCTTGGCTAGAACTTGAGTCTGGGAGGCCTCAGATCATCAGCGTGTATCCAAGAGCAGATGCCGGGGTCTGGGCACATCGGTGTGCCTTGAACAAGGTTTCCAGCCACCGTAGTGCATGTTATCACAAGCAGAATAAATATAACCAGCATTCTCCATTGTTCATCCAGCAGAAACCAATGTCCAGGGCTGTATCATGTGCTAATATCAGAGGCACTGGGCAAGCCTTCTAATAACCCCTTTCCCACTGGTTCAGCTGCACTCACTAGGGCCATTCTTAAGAAGAAACTCTGAGGCCGAAGATGCAGGAGGGAAGGCCAAAGACGCTAAATCTAATGTTTGTGGAATTAGAGGAGAGGGCTAAGTACAGAAAAAGATAAACCCAACTTCATATTTTATGTTGGTGTGAGCTCGTTCATGACCATATAAGCCACTCTCACAGTATGGAGCACCATATAAGCCACTCTTACAGTATGGAGGACACATACGCACCCATAACTCATCTGAGATTCTACATGGACTCGTGTTTCCATGAGGGTTTCCACTTGTCATGGGTGCTGACCTAAAGGTAGTGCCTACACAAGATGCTCAGAAGGTGCGGACATTTCCTTCTGGGCTATTTGATCTCTTCCTTCCCCCAAATTTACCTAAGGAGAAGATTTCCCACAGCAATACTCCATAAGACCACACGTCGCTCTTGGTGCTGTAGATTTTGTCAAAGATAGATTCAGGAGCCATCCATTTCAGAGGAAGTCGAGTCTGGAAGAAAGTTAAGGGGGCCTTGAGCAGAAGGGCATGAAAACAAAGCACATTCAACCCAAGTGCCCAAGGGATCACCTCTCAGATAACATTTGGCCCATAAATCATTTCCTAGAGAAGCTCCAGTTTCCTAACAGACCCTTCTAGCATGCACTGTTATGCTAAAAGAGAGCCGTAAGCGTCTAATACTGAGCCTTGTGAAAGCAAAAGATGTTTAGTAACTCACTCTGATGTGTTCAGCATATTCTAACTCCATGGCTCTGTGAGAAATCCTCCCCTGCAAAAAAAGCCTGCACTCTGTGGCACAACTAATGGCTTGGAATTAGAAGACACCCTGCAAATTGGTGATTTCCAGGAATTTGTCCTAAGAAGGAGGATTCTGAAAAGCATTCCTACGGAGAGACAGAATTTCAAATGTCATTGAATGTGGAGAGTTGGCAAAGGCAGTGGAAAGAGGGACAAAGAGAAAGAGGAAAGAAGGAAGATGGGTATTTAAGGAGCATGCATGGTTGGTTTGCCAGCGTGCGGAGAAACCTTTCTCTTCCAGATAGCCAGAAATCCCAGCATGTGGGGCGTCACCACTGCAGGTGGATGGGGACTGATGGGAAGTACAGGATAATGGAGAGATGAAGAGGAAAATGGGGGTGGGGGCAGGTAGAGGTTAGAAGAGACACAGATGATCAGAGAAGAGGGACAGGCTGACACATTGGTAGATGCCATCTTTGCAGAGTAGGGCTTTGAGGAAAGATTGTTTGTTTGTTCCCTTTATAAAAAGAGATTTGGAGCAGTGGTTCTCAAAGGATGGTCCTAGGACCAGCTTTTAGAAAGGCAAATTCTCAGGCCCCACCCCAAACTTACTGATTTAGAAACTCTAAGGGTGGGCCCAAGGAACTAGTTTAACAAGCTTTCCAGGTAGTTTGTATGTTCACTCAAGTTGCAAACCACTCCTGTGATTGTCAGAGCCCAGACATGTTCTTGAACCCTTGGGGTATAGGCTGGAGAAGGGCGGTCACCCACAAAAGTGAAAGATAACACTATGTCCGAAAACAAGTAGGAAAAAGAAGGAGCATGGGCCAGCAATGGGGCGCCAGGCACAGAAAACATGCAGGGAGGTGAGCAATTTCCTCTGCAGGGAGATACTGCTGATGGCCTCCCCCACCCTTTCCTGAGAGAGAGAGAGAGAGACACCTGCTGAATCAATCATCTGGGTTTATTCCAAGGAAAGAGTCCAGGCCGTTCTTTTCAGCGGTACAAGGAACTCCCACAGGAGTCAAAGGAAGGTAAAGATAAGGTCTCACCCAGGCTCCAGCAAACAATTCTCAGGTTAGCAAGTTCCAGGCTGTGCTGGCTGCCCTAAGGTACTAGGGAAGAACAGAAGCAGGGGACAGTGGCCTCTGTGAGTCTCCTGGGAGGGCTGTCTGGGATGCAGCTCATCTGGACTGCCTGTCTTCATAGAGAGCACATAATAGCCTTCAGGGACTACCGCTGAGGAAGTGTAAATATTTACCAAGGGCTTCAGTCTGTGGTTTAAAAATGATAGGGAATAAATGAGTCAAATAAACACCAAATTGACTTACATCTCCTTTTCTCACATAATCAGGGTTCTTATAAATATCCCGGGCGAGGCCGAAATCACAAATCTTCACCACATTGTTCTCAGATAAAAGAATGTTTCGCGCTGCCAGGTCCCGATGGATACACTATAATAAAACAGTTGCATAATCAATGCATTTCCTCAGTCTAACCCACCAGTTTCCTCTGCCTTCTCAGTGTCAGTGTCATTATTCTGAATGTGAGGATCCATGTCACATGCCGTGAAGGAAGCCACTCTCCCTGCTCACGGAATCATGTTAAACGTGAAGCACTTCTTTACAAATACAGGGGCCCTGAGGCCCAGAAGTCAAGAAATGCTCTGAATCTGCTGGACTACTGTTTTGCAGGACAGTGTCCTGGTGTAGGAAGTTGCAATCTGAGTTTTACCAGCGAGTGTAACTTCCCCGCAGTTTTATCCTGAGCTGCCGAGATCAGCTCCTGATCCAGCTGCAGTTTTGTGGGAGGGCCCTACTTGGATATATAAATAGAAGCTCTCCTGTGAGGCTGTGTGTTCTGAGGTTCTGGCCAATTTTGAAAAAATACCACAGAGCACCATGGATAGTGGTTGCCCGACTTGTCTAGCCTGAAACCTGGTAAGGTTTTCCCCGAGAATGAAGTTCTACCCATTGGCATCCAAAGTCATCACTCTCAAAACTCTCTATATGAGGGCAAATTAAGGCACTTGTGAGGATGTTTATTCTACATGTAAGGATAAAGGTAAAAGCAAATGCTAGGAAAATGGATTTTGCTATCAAAAGTATGTGTCGAGGTCTGGCAAAGAAAAATAAAAAAAAACAGTGAAGAGTGAGCTGACCTTTCTGGAAGACAAAAACTCCATGCCTCTAGCCACTTGAAAACTGTAAGAAATCAGGTCTTCCATAGTGATGGGCTCCTTGTAGAAACCTTCAGAATCTGGAAAGCATTAGAACCGTAACTGTTTGTAATGGCTCTTGTTATCCCACCAAATCCGAGTTTATTGGAACAATGTTAGCAAAACATAAAACAAACCAACAAGTAGATCAGAGTTCATTTTCAAGAGCATTTGAATTTCAACATGAACATCAGAGATTTTTCCAGGCCTGCAGCCTATTTTGCACAAGCACTGAGGGGGAAGGAGGAGGATGATCCCTTAAGACAAAAAGGCCTGAGGGGAGACAATTGTACAGTTCCCTGTCAAAATTAGTAACTCTGCAAATAATCTTAATTCAAATCTTATCTCCTCAGGACATTACCCTTTAAGTCTCCAGAGTCTCCCACGGATGTTTATTAGGGTGGTAAATAAGAAAAAAATTTCAGAGATGCACAGTATGTTGTAAAAATATCTCAGACTGTAGGACAGGAAGGAATTAATACCTACCCTCCTCTTCCTCAACATCACTCAGACTTTTATCTTCCTGAAACCCAGAGCTGGCAAAGCTCTCACTGCTGGTGACACTATCTAGTCTTGGTTTCTTGCCTTGCTCCAGGCCTGGCTCCATTTTTTCTTTCTTAGGTTCCACGTGCAATGCCGCATCCTGTAAGAGACCAAAAACCCAGGTGAAAGGGAGCTCTGGCATGGCAATGGGGAAACTAGACCCTCAGATGGACAAGTGCCTGAGCTGGGAGCATTTCATTCACAAAATAGAAAGTGAGTTAGGAGCAAGCGCCTCATGGTGACCACGGACCTGGCTACTTGTGGCATTGTGGAGTCTATTCTGCTCTTGACTGGGCTTTTAGACAGTATGTTAGGTCAGATAAAATAATATTAATAGGAGTCAAAGGAAGGTAAAGATAAGGTCTCACCCAGGCTCCAGCAAACAATTCTCAGGTTAGCAAGTTCCAGGCTGTGCTGGCTGCCCTAAGGT